CGATGATCTCCTTGAAGGGCGCCAGTTTGTTGGGCGCCTGTCGGAACGGCAGCAACGCATTCCTGTTTGGTGTACGCGGGGTGTTTGGGGTCACAGAAGCGGGCCCTGCAGGTCTCCGTTGTGTGGCCCTGGGACCTGTGCCAGTTGCAGTATAGCTTGGTCCCGGAGGCCGGTTTAGGTTGTTGGTCAGTCCGTGCTTTGTTGCTCAAGGTGGCAGCCGCTCCTGTGTCTGATTGTTTGTCCAGCAGGTTTGGGATGCTGTCAGCCAAGTTGGTGAGGTCGTCCCAGTGGATATCAGGCTTTGTGTTCAGCTTGGCTTGGAGTTTTTTGGCAATCCGCCCATTGGCAACCTGTAGTAGCTGCTCGATGAGCATTGGATGCATAACGTGGAGATGATCCAGGGTGACGTCCTCAGGTGCCAGGCGCAGGAAGAGCTGGTAGTTGTCCTGAAGCCGTTTAGCAAAACACCGGTACGTCTCATTGTTGTTCAGTTGGAGCTTGCAGAATCGTTGCAAACGCTTGAACTGTGGTGTGGGGTGGAAGCGTGTGATAGCCTTCACCATCTCCTCAAAGGTGCATGCTCCAGTGGCGTACACTTGATGGGCCGTGTTGGAGACATTGCGGGTGGTGTTGTGGATGAGGCAGCGGACCTTGTTGTTGTCCTCAACATTGTCGATCAGCAGGAGTTCCCTGAGGCGGATGGCATAGTCCTCAAAGTCCTCGTCTGTGCACTGCTTTGGGAGGTCTGGCGCTCGGTGGTCATGTACGCACCGTGACAGCGGCGGGGGTATGCGCGGTCCTGGGAGCAGCGTGGCTGGTGCGTGGTCCTCTGTCTTGGAAATCTTAAACATAAGTAACGTCACCAGAGATATTTGCAGGTTTCCGAGCAAGGTGATGTAGCTGGGTTTCTCTATTGTGAACAGACATTCCGCAACGTAGGCTTCCTTGAAGCGTTGGAGTGTGTTGAGGGAGATGAAGTCCCATGGGTGCGGCATCAATGTGGAGGATATGGTGCTGGGCGGTCTGCCCAGCGCTGAGGGCGACGCGTTGGAAGAGGCATTCTCCGCGGGTGGTCCAGGTTGGTCCGGTGACAACGCCAAGGATGCCGCACACGCTGTCTGGATCTGGGCCAGTTTGGTGGCGGCCCGGGAGGCTTTGGTGTCACGTGGCATGATGTGTACGGGAGTCGGTTTGGTTTCGTTGGCTGACAAGCCCCCAGTAAGGTGTTCGGTTGGTAGAGTAATGTACGGCTGGTGTTATGTGGTAGATGCAGGATAGTAGAATGAGTGTATTGGCTTTTCACAAGTAACTTTCTTTCACAACAGTAGATATGAAGACACTTGGCAAGGCGTTGGTTTTTTTTTTAGATGGCTATCTCTGACTGAGTGATTGGCGCTATGGGGGTGGTGTGGAAGAGGTAGCGCTGAGTGGAGTCAGTCCAGGTGGAAGCTGAATTATAAAGTCATGTCAGGACTTGGAAGTGTGTTGTGGCCGGTGTAGCAGGCAGGGCGTAATCCCCAGGTACAGCGTACTCCAGAGTACACCCTACCTAGGCAGGGTGTACTCCAGGAGTACACTGTGCCTGACACAGAGATCCAGGCACAGTGTACTCCATCAGGCAGGGCATATTCCCCCCAGAATTCCCAGTTGCAGTGTTTCCAACAATTGGGGGTGTTTTCAATCAGTGTAGGTGTTAAGGTTTTCCCCCCAGTCATGGTGTTTCATACCAGTGGGGGTGCTTCTCACTAGTGTTTTCAAGTTTAGCTGTTTTCAGTTGAGGTTTTTGTCACCATCAGGGAGGTCAGTGGTGGTGTTTCCCGACCAATCGGGGTGTGTCTCACCAGTGGGGGTGTTATCAAGTTTAGTTGAGGTTTCTGCCACCAGGGAGACTCTTTGCCACCAGTGGGGGTGTTTCCCACCAGTGGTGGTGTTTCACACCAGTGGGGGTTTTTCAAGTTTAGTTGAGGTTTCTGCCACCAGGGAGGCTCTTTGCCACAAGTTGGGGTGTTTCCCACCAGTGGGGGTGTTTTCAAGTTTAGTTGAGGTTTCTGCCACTTCAAGTAATTTATTTTTACAAACGCCCATACATATGTATTGAATGTTGATTTTCAAAAACGCTGATGGGAGTCAGTATTAAACAAATGCATGGTGCGAGTAAATTGGAAAAAAATATTTTTTGTATTTATTTATTTTTATATTAATTTTTCTGATTTTATAGAAAGATGAATAGTCAATATTTCAATTTCAAACAGTCACAATGACTTAAGGTTTTTTGGTTCTTTTTCAAGATTTTTCAAGAGAATTTTAAAGTAATTTTTTTACAAATGCCCACACACATGTATTGTGTGTTGATTTTCATAAACGCTGACTGGAGTCAGACTTTCACAAACGCATGGAGAGATTAAATTGGAATAAAAATTTTGGTGCTCATATTTCTTTTCAAATTCATTTTTCTGATTTTTTAGAAAGATGAATAGTCACTTTTCTAATTTCAAACTCTCACAATGACTTTCCAGGTTGTTAGGTTAATTTTCAAGATTTTTTCAAGAAAATTCTGAAGTAATTTTTTTTTACAAACGCCCACACACATGTATTGTGTGTTGATTTTCAAAAACCCTGACTGGAGTCAGACTTTCACAAACCCATGGAGAGATTAAATTGGAAAAAAAAATTTTTTGTTCAAATTTCTTTTTATATTCATTTTTCTGAATTGTTAGAAAGATGAATAGTCAATAATTTTTTCATTTCAAACACTCACAATGACTTTTCAGGTTTTTAGGTTATTTTTCAAGATTTTTTCAAGAGAATTTTCAGGTAATTTTTTTTACAAAGGCCCACACACATGTATTGTGTGTTGATTTTCAAAAACGCTGACTGGAGTCAGACTTTCACAAACGCATGGAGAGATTAAATTGAAAAAAAAATTTTGGTGCTCATATTTCTTTTTATATTCATTTTTCTGATTTGTTAGAAAGATGAATAGTCAATTTTCTAATTTCAAACACTCCCAATGACTTTTCAGGTTTTAGGTTAATTTTCTAGATTTTTCAAGAGAATTTTCAGGTAATTTATTTTCACAAACGCCCACACACATGCATATAACATACTGATTTTCAAAAATGCTGACTGGAGTCAGACTTCATCCACAAATGCACACTAAGAGTAACTTGTAAAAATTTTTTGGTGTACATATTTCTTTTTATATTCATTTTTCTGATCGTATACAAAAATGAATATTCAATTTTTTAATTTTAAACACAGCTCCCAAAGACTTTTCAGGTTTTTAGGTAATTTTTAAAGTATTTTTCCAGAGAATTTTCAAGTAATTTTTTTACAAACACCCACACACATGTATTGTGTGTTGATTTTCAAAAACGCTGACTGGAGTCAGACTTCCACAAATGCATGGAGAGATTAAATTTGAAGAAATTAAATCTGCTGAGCACCTGATGCGCTCAGCAGAGTGTCAATCCTTGCAGCAGACCTATGCACCACTGTACACCCCGGCCAATTTTGCAAAGTTATAGAACAATACAACCTGGAGTTGGGCCACGCAAACTGGAAGAAGGTCCTACAAACAATCTGTGCACTGTTCACTTGGCGGCACATGCGTCACACAATCTGGAGGTAACTGGTGTATTGCCTGGAGTGTTTCACCTACAAAAACAGCTCCAAAGTCACCGGGGAAAAGATGTGCGGACTCCCTGTCGCCAAACCATACAACCATTTGTGTATCAACTTCTACGGGCTGCTTCCGTTCTCCACCAAGCGGTCCTCAAGTATGCGTTTGTGGCCGTCGACCAATTCTCAAAGTTCCTGACAGCCATCCCTATTCTACGAGCAGACACCAGCACAGCCCTTGGACCAATCCACACCATTTTTCAGGACGTGGGGAAATTCCGGACAATACATTCCAACCAGGACAAGGTTTTTAAATAACAGGCTTTCTGCCAATTTGTGGCACAGGACGGCTGTGACCAACACATTACCCGGGAAAACCACCCCAAGGGCAACAGGATGTGTGAATGCGCAATTCAAACCATAGGCCAAATCCAGGCCAAACGCGCAAAGGGCAACGCAAAAAACTGGCATCAGTACTTACCCACATCTGTGATGGCATACAACCTCACGCCACATACAACCACTGGCGCAACGCAAAGCAAAATTTTCTGGGGCAAACCACCAAGCCTACATGCAGACAAACACTTCAGTGTGGAAATGCTTGCTACTGACAATCTCCATATGGTCCTACTACATCTCCTACACCAGTAGGCGCACGTTCTCTGGCAGGCCAATCGCAGCCAACACCCAACCTTCCAACCAGGGGACATGGTAGCGGTTTGGCCACATATGGCTTCCACAGATCTCCATGCCGCAACCCGACGTTTCCAAAAACGGCAACTCAAACCTTTCATGATCATCCGGCTACACGCACCTGGATGATACGCAGTGGGCATCTACACACATATTGCACTCCTCCCGGCTTGGGAGCTCCAACCATGGACACACGGACCACGGGCACCCCAACCAGGATACAACAAGCACCCGATGTACCTGCAACCACCGGCGCCACGACCACAACCGGCCATCAAGTCAGAGCACCACTACGCGTGCAGCGGCAACGGCACAGTGACAACAGCAGCCGTATGCAAGCACCTTTATTGCATGGCCACCTGCAACCATGCACGGGGGCCATGTCAACTAACAGGGGCCAACAACCACATGGCAACCACCCTGGGGCCTATGGCCACAATCGGCAGCAGACACTTGGCAACAAGGGTCTCTTTGGGGGGGGGGGGAAGTGAGAGATATCAATCTCGCAATTAACTTTATTGCACTATCTCTCCCGCAGATCTACAAGGACGGGAACCTAGCGCCAACTGGGAAAAACATCCGCCGGAAAGGGCAATAAAACCTAACAGACCCCGCCGCCAAAAAAGACAACAAAACCTAATGGAACCAAGGTCATCAACACGGACACATAAGGACTACCCGGACTTTCAGCACATCCTGAAAAATGGTGTGGATTGCATCAAAATGGCCATGCTGGTGTCCGCTTGTAGAATGGGGATGGCTGTCAGGAACTTTGAGAATTGGTCAATGGCCACAAACATGTACTTTTGCTGCTTGGTGGAGCGCAGAAGCGGCCTGTAGAAGTTGATACACAAACAGTCATATGGTTTGGCAGCAGGGAGTCTGCGCATCTTTTCCCTGGTGACTTTGGAGCTGTCATTGTAGGTAAAACACTCCAGGCAATCCACCAGTTGCCTCCAGATTGCGTGACGCATGTGCAGCCAAGTGAACCATGAGTGGATTGTTTGTAGGACCTTCTTTCAGTTTGCGTGGCCCAACTCCATGTGGTATTGTTTGATAACTTTGCAAAATTGGCCAGGGTGTACAGTGGTGCATAGGTCTGCTGCAAGGATTGACACTCTGCTGAACGCGTCAGGTGCCTGGAGCAAGGCCCCTGGTTGGTATTCCATCTTGCCCTGATACTGGCCAAGTTTCATCTGTAGGCATATCAGGCGTGACAACTTGAGCTTTCCAAGCAAGGGCTGGTGGTCCGTGATCATGCAGAATGCGCAGTGCTCCAAGTAGTGTCTGAATTTTTTTGTCATGGCCCAGACAATGGCCAGGAGTTTGAGTTCCGTGTTGGTGTACAGGGTCTCTGCATCCGTGAGCACGCAGCAGGCGTACTTAGCTGGATGATGGCGGGCCTGGTGTTGGGGTGGATCTGGACCAAAACTGCGCCCAGGCTGGTGGCGGATGTGTCAGTGTGGACTTTGATTGGCTGTACTTTGTTGTACCGCTCCAGGCGCACTGCGTGTGCAATGGCCTGTTTGGGGTCCAGAAAAGCCTGTTCAGCTGGGGCATCCCAGCGCAGCATGGTGCTCAGCTTAGCCGGAATGGTGCTCTGCAGCACTTTCTTGGCCGTTTCAAAGTTGAGTGGGATGTGGGCTCATAAGTACATATCCAGCCCCAGAAAAGGATTGAGATTGAAAAATTGACAATCAATCTTTCTAACAAATCAGAAAAATGAATATAAAAAGAAATATGAGCACCAAAAATTTTTTTTCCAATTTAATCTCTCCATGGGTTTGTGAAAGTCTGACTCCAGTCAGCGTTTTTGAAAATCAACATACAATACATGTGTGTGGGCATTTGTAAAAAAAAATTACCTGAAAATTCTCTTGAAAAAATCTTGAAAAATAACCTAAAAACCTGAAAAGTCATTGTGAGTGTTTGAAATGAAAAAAATTATTGACTATTCATCTTTCTAACAAATCAGAAAAATGAATATAAAAAGATATATGAGCACAACATTTTTTTTCCAATTTACTCTCACCATGCGTTTGTGAAAGTTTGATTCCAGTCAGCGTTTTTGAAAATCAACAAACAATACATGTGTGTGGGCATTTGTAAAAAAAAATAACCTGAAAATTCTCTTGAAAAAATCTTGAAAACTAACTTGAAAACCTGAATAGCCTTGAAAATTTGAGCATTGGAAATTATAAAATTGACTGTCCATTTTTCTTTGAAATCAGATGAATAAATATAAAAAGAAATAGGTACACCAAAATATTTTTCCAAGTTACTCCTAGTGTGCATTTGTGGAAGTCTGACTCCAGTCAGCATTTTTGAAAATCAACATACAATACATGTGTGTGGGCGTTTGTAAAAAAAAATTACCTGAAAATTCTCTTGAAAAAATCTTGAAAAATACCCTAAAAACCTGAAAAGTCATTGGGAGTGTTTGAAATTAGAAAATTGACTATTCATCTTTCTAACAAATCATAAAAATAAATATGAAAAGAAATATGAGCACAAATTTTTTTTCCAATTTAATCTCTCCATGCGTTTGTGAAAGTCTGACTCCAGTCAGCGTTTTTGAAAATCAACACACAATACATGTGTGTGGGCGTTTGTAAAAATAAATTACTTGTGGCAGAAACCTCAACTAAACTTGAAAACACACCCCTGGTCATGACACTGGTGAGAAACATGACCACTGGTGGGAAACACCCCCACTTTGTGGCAAACAGCCTCCCTGGTGGCAGAAACCTCAACTAAACTTGAAAACCAATCAACTAAACTTGGTGGTGTTTCTCACTTGTGAGAAACACCACCACTGGTGGGAAACACCCCCACTGGTGGCAAAAAGCCTCCCTGGTGGCAGAAACCTCAACTATATTTGTTAACACCCCCACTGGTGGGGAAACACCTCCACTGACCTCCCTGGTGGCAAAAACCTTAACTGAAAATAGCAAAACTTAAAAAAACTAGTGAGAAACACCCCCACTGGTATGAAACACCATGACTGGGGGAAAACCTTAACTGAAACATCCCCACTGGTGGAAAACACTGAAACTGGGAATTTGGGGGGAGTACACCCTGCCTGATGGAGTACACTGTGCCTGGTCGTTGGTATAGGCAGGATGGACTCTGGAGTACGCCCTGCCTGACGGTAGGGTGTACTCCTGGAGTACGATTTTGGGGGAGTACAATAAGGATGAAGAATACAGTAGACCTCTTCTCCACGAACACTTGATATATTTCTTGGTCACAACAATAAAAGACTCAGGAACACATCAGAGACTAAGAGATGATGTCAGGTTAAAAGCTCAAGACAAAGTGAGGTTCTTCTCCTGCTCCGCTAACCTCCTGCCAGCGGCTCACCTGATTGACCAATAAGTGGAGTGGGGTTGGGTGTGATCTTTGGACGTTTGGCCTTTTGCCAGAATGGTCGCCTAGATGGCGCTCGTTTTGGTGAGGGGGCACCCTTACTCTCCCCCCCCCCCTGGAAAAAAGGAAGGTTGTCACCCGTTTCACGACATGACCCCAAATTATCCCCAGAGGGGGGTTTGCCCTTCGCCAAATTTGCAGTTGGTTGGTCACGCGCGGACTGAGGATACTCATGATCTAAAAGCACAGCACGTTCACTGACCGACGGACATTGACTCGACGGGCGCGCATAAACATGTTCTTGTGCAGGGTGGATGACACTTGAAGCAACCGATTGGAGATGGATAAGGCCCAGATGTTTTTTGTATCCAGGTATTGGCGCTTGGGGAAGTCCGTGAAATGGGACCATTTCCCAGGCATTGACCCGTCTTATCTCTGGTCCTGCTCCAACCCAGTATTCGCCTTGTCCTTTGTCCGATAGCACTATAAAAGGTCCAAAGCGTTTTGTTTGAAAGCAACGATGAGCGGCGTGTTGATCCGCAGAGGGCAGACGAGGAAAAATTGCTATTACATCGCCAGGCTTAAAAGAATCAGGTTTTTTTTTGTTCGCCTGATCAATAAATTTCTGTCGCTGAGTGACGATGTGTTGTGGCATTTTGTCAAGTCTTTGTTGCAGGTTCTGCCGTTGGACGGAAAAGGTGGTATCAGCTTCTATAGTACAGTCGCTACTCCAAACATGGCCTCAGTTGGGGTAATGCCCATTGTTGAGTGTGGAGTCAAGTTGTACGCTTTGACTGACTTGCTGAGGTGTTGCGCCCAGGTGGTCTCGTCCCCTAGTACTGCTTTATTTTGAATCTGGCCCAATGTACGGATGGCCCGCTTGCAACATCCATTCCCTTCTGGATGTGTGGCTTGGGCTATGTGCTGTTTAATATGGGCTCCACGTAGAAAATGTTTGAAAGCATTACCTCGGAAGACAGAATCCGCATCGGTGTGAATGAATTCGAATTCTCCAAGCTGGCGGCAAAGCTGGGCCAGGAAGGGGATGACAGTTTCGGTGTTCGCGGCCGGAATTGGTTTGACACACATGTATTTGGTGTAATGGTCCACGGCAACGATGACGTATTTGAATCCTTCGGGAGAAGTTGGTAGGGGTCCGTAGAAATTGACGACAAGGCGTTTGCAGGGTCGAGTCGACTCTATAGGGGAGAGCTTGGTTCCAACTGTCTGGGTCGGATCATTAAAGCGGAAACAGGTGGTGCAATGCAGAACCCTCTGCCAAATTTGTTGGCGCATGCCGGGCCACTGAAAACGATCGCGAAGTGTTAGATATACCTTTTTCCAACCGGCGTGGGCCAGTTCCAGATGATAGGTGTCAATTATCTGCTCTCGCTGGTCTTCAGGGGCGTAATCCGGGCATCGGCGATGTTTAGGGATATGCGGCTAAGAGCGTCTGGTCCTTGAAGAAAATGTCCAGGGCAATGAACAATTTCAAAGTTGTAACCTGCGAGTTTTGTGTAGAGGCTAACTGCACGTTCTGTTTGAAGATCCTCTAGTAGAGCTTTATGATCGGTATTAACTGTAAAGCGCCTGTGAAGAAGATGATGTTTAAACTTCTTAGTTACACTCCATACCACAGCAAGAAGTTCTTGCTCTGTGTTGGTGTACCACGTTTCTGTATCTGTCAGCACTCTGCTCGTGTATTCAATAATCCGGTGATGATCCTGTTCATCTGTTTCCACGAGAACCGCTCCCAGGCTGATGGCTGAGGCGTCGCAGTGTACAGAGAGAGGGAGACGAGGGTCGATCCGTTCGAGTTTGGAGGTTTCTGCCAAACAGTCTTTTAGATGCTCAAAGGCCGATAGTGCTTCTGCAGTCCAGTGCAAATGCGTCTTGTGTTTTTTAGGGATGATTGAGCAAAGAGCTTTCTCCGAGTTGGCGAAATTTGTCGGCAAATGCGCGAGGAGATATGTGGCCATCCCCAAAAAGCGCTGCATTTGTCGCGTGGTGGAGGGTTGCGGATACTCCTTAACTGCATCTACGTTGCGCTCTGCTGGTCGACTTCCTGTTTGGTCAATGATGTGGCCCAAGAAAAGCGTTTGACAAGCAAGAAAACTTGATTTTTTGATGTCAACTGCTGCACCGGCATCCTGTAGCGCTGTAAGAACATCTGATAAATTTTGACAGAGTATGTCAAACGTTTTTCCAAAAACTAGAACATTGTCCACATAAGCAAGACACTTTTTAAACAAATGTGGGCACAAAATTGTATTGATCGCGCGTTGGAACATTGGTGGACCATTTTTCAAACCAAAAGATAAAACTTTGTATTGCATTTGACTGCGCGGAGTCATGAACGCGGTTTTCGGCCTATCTTCCTGCGTGATGGGAAGATGATGGTACGAGTCGTGAAGATCTAATCCACAAAAGTACTTGTTGTTTCGTCCAAGCGCTTCTATGAGTTCCTGGACTACGAGCATCGGATATTGGTTGTTGGGAATGAGCTTTTTGAGCTCTTTATAGTTCTCAACGAGCCGGAATCTCTTGTCCACAGGAGCATTGGGTTTTGCGTCCTTCTTGTCGACAAGAAATGCTGGGGCATTGTATGGAGAGGCGGCAGGTTCTAAGATGCCTGCCTCCACATACCGGTCAATGATTTCGGCGAAGGGAGCATTGCGCTCCACCGAGTGACGATACTGCCTTGTGGCAGGTGGGGGGCCTTCCATCATGGTGGGTATCCGTACGACGTGGTTGATGAATAGGCCTCGTCTGCCTGACCACTGTTGAATGAGAGGCGCGTGGGCGCAGAGAAGTTTGGTGACCTGCCTGTGTTTGTCGGGAGTCCCGTCGACAAACACGATACCCTCCCCGACCGGGAGAGCAGGCTTGAATGGTGCATGCGTGATCTCACAAAAACCTGTAAACAACCTCTGCCCGTCGATCGTAATTGCGACCGGTAATTGCAATAGGGTCGTTTGTCCAAAAATAAAGTCGTACTCGCGTAATTTTGGTAAAACAAGAAACATCCCAGGGTAGGAAATGTCGTGAAACAGAAAAGACACCTGAACAGAACTGTGGACAGGCATTGGATCAGGACCCAGGGCAGTGCTAATCAGGGAGTGCAATGGAGCTTGGGGTAAATTCAGGGTATTAACTAGGGCACTGGAAATAAAAGAATGGGAGGCACCTGTATCGATGAGTGCATGAAGAGTCTGGTTGTTGATGGAGATGGTGAGAACCACTGGCGGAGGTGCGGCGGAGAGGATTGTCGAAGCACAGTTTGCCGCATTTGCTGTGCTGACTTCGAGTTTCCCTGCACCTGCGGACATTCGCAAAACATGTGACCTTGCTTATGACAATGGAAACAGGTAACAGAAGAATTCTCATTTGCGCGATTCGTTTGCGAAGCAGTCTGCAAATTCAAAATGGAGGCAGGTTTAGCAGAACCTGTTTCCTTTGTTGGGCTGGCGGAAGTGGATTGATTAGGTCAAAGTCGGCACTCATGAGAGCTGTGACGCATTTGACACTTTTGTACTCACACCATTGTCGCGGGGGCAGGTTATGCCGGTTGCGGAAACTGGTCTTGTTCCTGGTCGACTGGTATTTTTTACCTCGATGGTTGAGATGATACATCTTGGCAATGTCCACCATTTCGTCCCACGTCAGCGCATGATTTTTTTGCCATTTTTGTTGTAGCTCGTCTCGGAGGCCTCCTTCGGATCCACGTAGCAGCTGCTCCATCAGCATTTGTTGCAGTAGAGGTTCGCATGCTTCCAAGACGTCAGCGGAGAAGTGAAGAAATGTTTCAAACTGGTCCCAAAGTTGTTCAGCAAAGCTGATGTAGCTCTCGCCATCGTCGGGTTTCATGCGTCGGAACGAGTCAAGCCTGTCAAGAAAAGGAGTCGGATGACGGCTGGAGATAGCAGCAACCAACGGTTCAAAGTTGGTGATGCCGCGTTTGTAGAGTCGATGCGCCGTGTTCTGGATCTGGGGTAAGGTGTTGTCCATCAAGCACCTGACGCAATGCCCATCGTTGATGTTGTTGATTTCCAGACGATTGCGTAGCCGCATGGCGTAGTCCTCAAATTCTTCTTTGGCTGGTTGCTTTGGAAGATCGGGGATCTGTGGCTCTGAGAACCACCATGGCGGTAGCGCTGGCAAGCGGTGGGGCACCGGACCGGAGTAATCCATAGGAAGAAGCTGCATTGCTGGGAGCAAAGGCTCCAGTTGTCTTGGAAAATTGAAAAGAGCGGACAGCGGTACCTGAAGCCTGTCGAATTGGGCTGCGTAATTGGAAGCAGACACGACGTTTGGATGACCCAGGCGGTAGGTTTCGGCGATGAAGTGCAGCTAGCAAGTGGAAGGGTTTCCCAAACACTGGAGCCAGAAGACAATGCCGAGTCCCCAGAAGGAGTTTCGGTGCGCCTGTCGGCGGGAACCTCCGTTCGTCGTTCAGCAGGCGGGGACTTGTTCTGTTCAGACTGTCCAGCCATTTCTTGGGCGCGGGCGTATGGTGTTGCTTTAGAGTTTTCCGTATTACGCACCATAGAAGAAGAAGTGTCTCCTTGAAGTCAATCACTATGGGTTGGCTCGAGCCCCCAATAAGGATGAAGAATACAGTAGACCTCTTCTCCACAAACACTTATTTCTTGGATATATTTCTTGGTCACAGCAATAAAAGACTCAGGAACACGTCAGAGACTAAGAGATGATGTCAGGTTAAAAGCTCAAGACAAAGTGAGGTTCTTCTCCTGCTCCGCTAACCTCCTGCCAGCGGCTCACCTGATTGACCGATAAGTGGAGTGGGGTTGGGTGTGATCTTTGGACATTTGGCCTTTTGCCAGAATGGTCGCCTAGATGGCGCTCGTTTTGGTAAGGGGGCACCCTTACTGTGCAATAAGGAAATACTCCAGTGAAGGTAACACACACACGTCCTTCTATTTCACAAGTCACAGACTAGAGGTCAGAGATTACAACTTCACGTCTCAAGAGTACAGATCAGAATACCCCTTCCTTCCGCGCTCCAATTCCTTGTCCGATCACTTCCGCCTCGTCATCATCCTCCACGTGTCCCTGGTTCCACAGTGTCTCGCGAACACGTGTTCGTGGCGCCAGCCGGTCTGGTGTTCGCATACCCCCTGTGTTCGCGCGCATCCCTGGTTCGCGTCTCCCTCCCCTAGATGTCGCGTTCGGTTGTAAGGGTGCGGCCTTACTCTCCCCCCCGAAGAAGGTTTCTCGCCTACCCCGGTACACGCGTTTTTGATGTGTTTTTCGCGCTGAATTGCATTGACCGTAAGCGTGATCCAGTGTGGTGGCCCTTCCCTGCGGCGTTGGTGCCTCCTTTGGCGGTCGCACGTACCCGTGGTCCTTGGCTTGTATGACACTGTTCTGTCCTGATGGCAAGTGAATAAGTCCCATTTGTTTTTCAAATCCTGCTCCTGGTTGTCTTGGTAGTCCGTGAAATGGTACCATCTCCCAGGCGTTTGCTCTTCGCACATCTGGACCCGCTCCCACGTGGTATTCTCCGTTCCCGACATAGGATATAACCATAAATGGGCCCAGGCGTTGTGTCCTGAATCTGCATCCTGCTGCATGCGTCTGTACTGTTGGTAAACGAGGACAGATTGCAATCATGTCACCTGGAAAAAAGTGTTC